TAGAAGACTAGGTAGAAGAGCAAGATCCAAACCCAACTCTTGGTCGTGCGCCCTAGGAACTGTCCAGTGTTGGCGTTATAGATGAAGAGCTTCCACTTGACCAGGCTCTGGTTGAAGGACTTGTCTTTCTTCGTCATGGTGTGTGTGCTGTGTCCCGGGAAGGTGCGTGGCTGCCGCGGGCGACGAGGGGGCGAGGAACGAGGAACGCAGAGCGGCGTCCCAGCTCAGGCGACGCGCAGCCTGGCAGCGGACAGCTGAACGGCCAGAGAAACCACCGAGCAGCGGGCGTACGCAACAGCCTGGGCCTGGGGAGGCTCTATTTTGTTATTTTTATGTAGCTGGGATGTGGGGGCAGCTGAATAAGTTGAGCCGTTAAATTTGGAAACACAAAGGAGAAAGAGTTCTAAGAAGAAATTAACAGTTGGTATGTGGAATATGAGAAGCATGAATGTAGAAAAACTAGACATTGTAAAAAAGGAAATAGAACACATAAATATTTACATAGGGTATTAGTGAAATGAGATGAATTGGCACAGGGCATTTTGAATCCCATGATCACGTGATCTATTATGCTGGAGATGATCTTGAAATACAATATTGTGAGTGACAGAATACTATCTATACACATACAAGGAAGACTTGTTAATGCCACTATCATTGAAATTTATGCACCTAAAACCAGAGCCAAAGAGGAGGAAATAGATGATTTCTATCAACTGTTGCAGTCAGAGATCAATCAGTTGTGTAACCAAGATGCTTTAATAATTATGGGTGACTGGAATACAAAAGTTGGGAATCAGGAAGAAGGATCAGTAGTCAGAAAATATGGACTTGGTGACAGAAATGAGGCTGGGGATAGAAGTATAGAATTCTGTGCAATCAATGATTTATTCATAGCAAATACCTTTTATGAGAAACATAAACGCAGGCTATACACATGGATTTCACCTGATGGGATACACAGGAATCAGATTGATTACATCTGTGAAAGGAACTGTTGGAGAAATTCAGTATCAGCACTGAAAACTAGGCCAGGTGCTGATTGTGGAACAGACCATCAACTGCTCATATGCAAGTTCAAATTAAAAGTAAAGAAGGTTAAATCATATCCACAGGAATCAAAATTTGAACTTGAGTCTATCTCCTATGAATTTGAAAGCCAACTTAGGAATAGGTTTGAGGCCTTGAACACTAATGAACGAAGACCAGATAAGCTGTGGGAAGATATCAAGCATATAGTTCATGAATGCAAAAAGTCATTACTAAGAAGGAAGAAGAAGAAAAAGACCAAAATGGACATCAGAAGAGACTCTGAATATTGCTGTAGAGTGCCGAGAAGCCAAAGGAAAGGGAAGAAATAAAGAGTTAAGGAGCTGAATAGAAGATTTCAAAGGCCTGCTCAGGAAGACAAGGCAAAATATAATGAAATGTGCAAGGAGCTGGAGTCAGAAAATCAAAAGTGCTGAACTCATTCAGCATATCTTAAGCTGAAAGAACTGAAGAATAAATTCAAGCCATGAGTTAAATGCTTAAGGATGCTATATAAGGCAGAATATTGAATGACTCAGGAAACATTAAAAGCAGATGGATGGAGTATATAGAGTCATTGTACCAAAAAGAATTGGCTGACACAGAAGAATTTCAAGAAACAATGTATGAGCAAGAGGCAATGGTGATGAAGGAGGAAGTGCAGGCTGCTCTGAAGGACTTGGCAAAAAAAAGCCCCAGGAATTGATGGAAGACCAGTTGACGTATTTCAGCAAATGGATGCTGCTCTGCATGTGCTCACCAAGTTGTTCCAAGAAATCTGGAGGACAGCTACTTGGCCAGCTGACTGGAAGAGATCCATATTTACAGAGTGTGGAAATTATCAAACATTATTACTAATATCACACACTAGCAAAACACTTCTGAGATTATCCAGAAAATACTTGAATAGTACATTGACAGAGAACTGCCAGAAATACAGTCCAGGTTTAGAAGACGTTGTGAGGGAGCTCTGGTGGCCTAGTGGTGAGAAACTGCGCTGCAATCCCAGAGGAACACGGTTCGAATCCACCAGACGCTCTGCCGGAGAAGGAGGCACAATATCCTCCTGTACCAGTCAGATCTGATTTGACGGTGCACGCACACAAAATAATAAAAAAAAAAAAAGAAGACCTTGTGGCACTAGGGACATTATTGCCAATGTCAGATGGATCTTGGCAGAAAGCGTAGAGTACAGAAGAATGTCTATCTGTGTTTCATTGACTATGCAAAGGCATTTGACAGTGTGGATCACAATAAATTGTGGATAACCTTGAGGAAAATGGGAATCTCAGAACACTTGATCGTGCTTATATGAAACTTATACTTGGACCAAGAAGCGGTCCTCAGAATAGAGCAAGGAAGCACTGCATGGTTCAAAATCAGGAAAGGAGTGCATCCTGTCCCTATACCTTTTCAATCTGTATGCAGAACAGATCATTTGGGAAGCAGGGCTTTATGAGGAGGAGTGTGGCATCAGGATTGGAGGAAGACTCATTAACAACCTATGATATGCAGATGACACAACCTTGCTTGCTGAAATTGAAGAAGACCTGAAGCACTTGCTGCAAAAGGTCAAGGACTGTAGTCATCAATATGGATTGAAGTTCAACATCAAGACAAAGATTCTCACCATTGAGTCAATTGGCAGCACCATATTAGATGGAGAAATGATTGAGATTGTTAACAATTAGAGCTTCCTTGGATCCACAGTCAACACTCTCAATCAAAAGACGAATTGCATTGGGAAAGTCTGCTGTCATGGACCTTTCCAGAGTGCTGAAGAGCAGTGATGTGAGTATAGAAACAAAGGTGCACCTAATCTAGGCCATGGTTTTCTCAGTTACTTGTTATGTTTCAGAGAGTTAGACAATGATTAAGGATGACAGAAGAATAGATGCTTTCAAGTTGTGGTGCTGGAGAAGAGTCTTGAACATACCATGGACTGCCAAGAAAACAAGTTGTTCTATCTTGGAGAAGGTGACACAAAGTCTCTCCTAGAAGGCTAGGATTTTGAAGCTTCACCTCACTTACTTTGGGTACATGGCCAGGAGAGATTAGTCCCTGGAGAAGGGACATCATGCTCAGAAGAGTGTGAGAGGGAGCCTCTGGATGAGATGGATTGATACAATGACTGGGAAAATGGGGGTTGGTGTGTGGGAATTAGTAAGACTGGCTCAGGACAGGGAAGGGTTCAGAGCTACTGTACATAGGGTTGTGGTATACATCGCAGGCAACTCAAAGGCACATAATAGGAAGTTTGGAAGCAGGAATGGCATCTGCTTACTAAATAGCATGCCTCTGGAAACTGTGAACTTTGATAAATGTCAATAGTTGTAGAGGGGCTTGAGACCTTTTGTTCACAGGGTCTCTATGAGTCTTGCTTGACTCGAAGGTAATTAACAATAACAGTCAGGTCCATCCTAGCTGGGTAGTGGGAGGAGGGGTTGACTTAAGATACTTGTTGGATTAGAGTTGGACTCGAGTGCCTGCATGAATTTTAGGCTCTTTGGAGAGGGACTTGGAGATCTATGACCTGGGCCAAGTGGAGGAGATAGACTTCTGCTTGAGCAGAGCAGGATGGCCTGGGAACCGAACTGAGAGGCTGCAGTGGTCTTCAGGCTAGGTGTGAGGGGTTTCAAATGGAGCATTTGTTTCCTAATGGAAAGCAGGGAGCGGAGTGATTGTCATAGACACAGGATGTGGAAGGATAGGAGAGTAGATGGCAGTTAGTATGATTCAATCAATAAGGAGAAGAGTGCTCCTGTTCCCCTGAAGCTAAGAGGTCATGGTGATAGAAATCAAGCTACAAAATAAAAGAGCCCAACAGTTACCCGTCCCAGGCAGGCCTGACTGAGTGTGTGAGCCCTGTGAGTGAGAGGGCTTGGTCTGCCCAGAGAGCCAGAGACATGGCCATCATGCATATCTGTGGGGCTCCTCTGGACAGTAGCCCAGCGTCTTATCTCTTCTTCTAGGCAACGGTTACTGTGGTTACGGGAACAAGTTGTGCTAAAAATCCAGGAAGGGGATTAAGCCTGAATCCTACAGGATTAGGCTGGAGTCACTGGATGGTCAGTCAGTGGGGGCAGAGAGCTCTGGTTTCTAAGTCAGGCACATGTGTGTTATGATGCTGGTCTAACTGAAAGCTCTCAGGCAAGCTCCATGGCCCTTCAGAGACTGTGAAATGGATCTGAAATTTGTGCACTGCCATGTAATAATTCATCAACATTACATAATAACCAAATGAGGCAAGAGCCAGTATCAGTCCCATGAGGGAATGTAGGTATAAGCAGGATTAATAATTTGCTCCAGGTCTCAAAATTGAGAAGTGCAGAGCCACACTCAAAAGTAGAACTGATTGATCACTGACCCTCTAGTGGGTTTTTAGAGGCCGTGAAGCCTATTCTCTCCTGAGGAGCAGCTGATGGATTTGAACCACCAGCGAGGCACTGCCTTTGGACTCCCTATGGACTTTGTCACCAGAGCCCCCTCGCACAGCTGCAATTCAAAGCTGTATAGTCTCCTTGGAGCTTGTGTGCTTCGTCCTCAGTGCCAGATTCTTGGTGTGTCCATCCCCCCGCTCTCCTGACTCCTACAGAATCCTAGAATGCAGAATAGGAGTGGCTTGAGAAATACCTGCCTTAGTCTGCCATCTTATAGGTGAAGAGATGGAAGCTGAGGCTTAGAACATGATTGTTTCCCCACAATTAAGCTAAGCTTTAGAGATCAAATGGGAACCAGTCCCTTGATTCCGAGTCCAGGTTTCCCCCTGCTGCTCTGTTCCAGTCCTTGTCTGCTCTGTCAGGAGATTTCCAGGAAAGAAAGGGGCATGTGAGGCAGCAGAGCCAGGGAGAGAATGGCCAGCCTCTGACACAGACTTAGGGGGTGACACGTGTTCTGGGGTGGGGAGAGCAGAAGCAGTGCCAGGCCATCACAGGGCTGATTTCTTTTATGCCTCGCCCTATTGTTCCCAGGAGTATCTGAAGGGCCTGTGCAGCCCCGAGCTGTGGAAGGAGGTTCGCTACCCATCCATCCTGCACTGTGCCTTCCTTGGAGCCCAGGGCCTCTTCCTTGACTGCCTCTGCTGGAGCACCCTGGCCTACTTGGTGCCTGGTCCCCCGGGCTCCCTGATGGTGGGTGGGCTGACTGAGTCTTTCGTCATGATCCAGAATTGGCTGGAGGAGCTGGTGGGGCGACTGCGCTGTAGCCCTGCTCCTCTTCTGACCCCCCGGGGAGTCTGGGAGGCTGAGGTGACCCGGGCTTTTGGGGCCCTGGTTTGGATTCGTGGTGACCAGCATGCTGGGGACCTGCTCCAGCTGCCCCCTGCAGTCCAGGAGCTGCTGCTGAGCCTGGTACGGGATGCTGCAGGCAAGGAGGACATCATCGAGTGGCTGGGCCGCATCGGTATCTCAGACACCCTCCCTGACCCGGAGCTCCTGATATGCTCTCCCTATCAGTTAAAGGAAGGCCTGGCCATGGTGCCTGTTGGGGAGGGCTCTGGGCCCTTGCTGGAGGTGGGGACCCTCCAGAATGGGGCCCCAGAGGACCTGAAGAAGATAACCAACCTTGGAGCCACTGAGTCCCAGGTCTCAGGCATCCTTGGCCCTCAGGATATCCCAGCCCAGCCCAAACAGCAAGAGACAGCAGACCAGCTAGTGCGGTAAGTTCTAGAGAATGACTCCAGCTTTTCTAAACCCACATCTGCTTCCCACCCCTAAAAAAGTATTAATAGCTATCTTTGTACCTTTCCAACAAGTCTGGGTTTCCTCTAGGGTTGGTTCCAGTAACCCAGGTAACACGGACGACATATCTGAGGAGGAGTCTGTACAAGCCACCAACAAACAGGACTCTGCAAGTCACACACAAGCCTTGTCACCACAAAAGCGAGTCCAGAGGGTGGAAGAGAAACTCTCCTTCTCACCTTCGATGTCAGCTCTGGGTGTGTGCCCATCCTGGAAGGCCTGGAGCCCAGGACCAACCTTTGGGCCCTTGTGGCCAGGAGCTGTCGCGGCAGCCTTTTGGAAGATCAATGAACTGCATTCTCTCCACTTGACCTGGCTCCTGTCTCAGGCCTGCTTCAATTTCCCCTTCTGGCAGAGGCCTCTAGGCCCCATTCAGTTGAAGCTTCCAGGGCAGAACCCCTTGCCTTTAAACTTGGAGTGGAAGCCAAAGCAGCTGTCCTTACCCAGTGTAGAGAGCCCAGCCTGCCGAACTGATGGGAGCCTGGGTGGAAGAGTGGCCCTAAGGAATTGCCCAAGACCAGAGACTCCCAAAAAAGTTGTGAGTTTGTTGGTTGTTCCTGGGGGCTCAGGAGTAAAGGACAAAGTTAGCCCAAGACTGGCACAGATAGGGCTCCCATCTACCTCTACACCTCAGCTACAGGCTGTAGGTGAGCTGAGGAGTCAAGGACATACGCAGTGGGTTTGTCAGGGGCTGAAAGTAGGGCCCCTGTCAGTGGGACCCAAAGGACAAAGAACACTCTCATCTCCAGAGAAACCCCTGGCCATGGTAGTCCAGTCAGTACCTGACGTTCAAACAGTGCCTGAAACTCTACAAGTGTCCATGGCTACGGTCTTGCCTCCAGCTCAGAAAACATGCAGAGTTCAAACGTTGCCCGTTGTGCCTCCCAGAGTGGCTCCAGCTCAGGTGGTGCTGGCTGTCCACACAGCCCCCGCAGCCCCCGAAGTGCCTTCAGATCTGACAAAGCCAGCAGCTCAGGTGGTTCTCACAGCTCAGAAAGCAGCTATGGGTCAACCAGCACCTGCGTCTCCTGTGGTGTGCACAGTCCCTCAAACTCCTTCTACTCAAAAGATGTCTGTAGGTCCCCAGATACCCAAAACTCAGACTGTACCTGCCGCTAAAACAGGGTCTGTACCTTCCAAAGAACTTCCACCTTCCAAAACCTCCAGAGCACCCCAAACGCCAGCAGCTCAGAAGGCACCCCCACATTCAGGGCTAACTTTGGACGTAGTCAAACTCCTGGCTGAGGTCCAGCCTTCCTCAAAATGCAATGCCAGCTCTCTAAAGGGCCAGGGGGAAACTAAAAGGCAGGGTCCCCAGGTCCAGAACACCCTGGCCTCCACCAATCAGCACCATCCTCAGATGGAGAGTCTCCTGGGAGCTTGGGAAGGGGCCCAGAAGCAACCTCTTCGCCACCCACAGGCGAATGGCACAGTGACCAGCTTCCAGAGGTACCACGAGGCCCTGAATACACCCTTTGAGCTGAGCCTTTCGGGGGAACCTGGGGACCAGGGCTTGCGACGAGTGGTCATTGATGGCAGCAGTGTGGCCATGGTGTGAGTAGTCAAGGATGGGCCTGGGATGGGCTGGGAATGCTGGGGAGCTGGGCGTGTAATGAGGGCTCCACATTGGGGAACAGCAGAGAGGAAGGGGGCACATATGGAATCATTACTGCCTGCCGAGTATGTGCATTGAATCCTCGCGGCAGCCCTGCAAAGCCAGCCTCGGTTCTCCCTCCCGATAGATGCAGCCATATGCTGAGTGAAGAATCTGTCCCAGTCCACTTGAGCCACTAAAAGGCCAGCTGGGCATTTGGGTTCAGGGCTGTCCAAAGCCAAGGCCCAGGCTCTTTCCAAGTCAATTTGCATAGGATGGCATCTGTCAGCCTCAGGCCAGCTTTTAAACTTCTAGGCTGAATTTCAAGACCCAGAGTAATTAACTCCACGAAGCATTTCCTGACTACACCAGTGTTAGAGATTGCCCTCCCCTCACAGCACTTAGTGGTCTTGCCACTCAGTAGTTGTGCTGAGCACACAGCTAGCACCCAGTAGGTGGTCACTGGGTGCTTGCTTTCAGCTTCTACAAAGAGCTCTTTGTGTGTCGAGGGTGCTCCCTTCTTCCTGTGCCCTCTCTGTCCCTACACACATATGCATACACTTGCCCACACACATACATACATATTCCATGCATGCAGGTGTGTGGCAGGGCCCTGTACCCAGTAGGTGCTTACAGAATGTTAGCTGATGGCGGGAGGAGGGCTGTGTTGATCTTGGTACTCTGCTGCCCTGAAGGGCTGACTCTGAGGACACGTGTGATGCAGGGCCATTCCTGGTGCCCTGGTGCAGATGTTTGCCCCCTCACTCTTGGCCACCCCACAGGCATGGCCTCCAGTACTTCTTCTCCTGCCGTGGCATTGCCATGGCAGTGCAGTACTTCTGGAACCGCGGACACAGAGAGATCACTGTGTTTGTGCCCACCTGGCAGCTGAAGAAAAACCGGAGAGTGAGAGGTGAGCTGTCCTCTTCCTGCCCCACCCTGCCCTGTCAGCACATCCCTTCTCTGCCTTTCTGCCCCGTCTGCCCACCTTTTCCATTCAGCCCTTCATCTGACCTTCTCTGTCTTCTGCCTTACACCTTCAGAGAGCCACTTTCTGACGAAGCTGCATTCCCTCAAGATGCTTTCAATCACCCCTTCCCAGCTTGAAAATGGCAAGAAGATCACCACCTACGATTACAGGTGTGTGGACTCCCCAAGCCTTCTCTCTGTGGGACACGAGGATTGGGCTGTGCTGTTGCTTTGGAGTCTTGCCTCATCTAAGGAAATGGGAGCAAACATCTCGAGAGAGGAAAGAGCAGAGCATGGGCTCTCTGTAGACAGAAGGAGAGACACAAGCGAGGAGAGGATAGCCCTGAGGTTGTCTAAGCCAAGGATCGTTCCTGACTTTGGGATGTTTGGTCAATAATAAGCTTCCCCATCAACCCATGACTGATGGAAAAAGCCCAAGCTCTTTTGAGCCAGGCTAGCCCAGGTGACTACTACTGCTTCAACTGAATGTCAGAGGCACCTCAGCCACCTGGCTTTGTATCAGGTTGAAGCAAATATCTCAATTTCCCCCCATCCATGTCTACATAGAACACTGTGACTGTAACAATGGATTCAAGTATGTCAGAGGTGCTGAAGGAGGGCTAGAATAGGGCAGATTTCAGATTCCTTACTTATAGGGCTGCTGTAAGTCTTAATCAATGCAGTAGCACACAACAACAACAACAACAAATCTAGGAGATTTGTATGACTGTGTGTGATGAAGGCTCCTGGTCTGGGCTCTGGAATTGTAGTTAGGCTGGTACAGTTGCCTAGCTGAGTCCTAAGTGTTTCGCTGCTATGGCTGCAGGACCAGTGTACTGAACCCATGCCCTTTTCTCAGGTTTTGGGGAGACTGTGGTCCTGATGTTGAGGTGAGGGGGGCTTGCCATAATCGCTAGTCCTAGTTCTGGGCTGGGGTCCATATTGGCAGCCAACTGAGGTCTTAGCTTTTGTTTAGATAGAATAGGGAAAGAGATGTCCCATTGTTTTCCAGTTCTTCCAAGACCCAGCCTGTGCTCTGCCTGGAGGGGCTGCCAAGGAAGCTTGGCACTCACCTTTGGAGAGCTGGCCCTCTCAGAATTCTAAGCTCAATGCTATGGAGTCAAATTTGAGTTGCAGCAACTCTGCAGGACAGAGTAGAAGCGCCCCAGAGTTTTCAAGACTGTGAGCCATGGGGGTGCAGTCCGCCACACCCGTGTGTCTGGAGGAGCTCATGAGTGTCAACTGCCACCCTGTCTGTTCGCAGCGGAACACTGAATCACTGTGTACCGTTAGGGCCTCTCTGAACTATAGATCTGAACCTTGCCCTATCGTCTGCTGTCCTTACCATCTCTGATATGCTCGAGACCATGTTACAATCACTGTGTCGTGTTGAGGATCTTCCTGTCTTTCTCTGACCCTGCTTTCCCCAGCAGGTTCTTTTTCCAAGGACTGGCCTGTCCTGAAAACTTGCCCAAAGAGTGTGAGATAGTGTTTCACCATCCTTGCCTCTAAGAATCACCCTGTACTTCCTCCAAGACAGAGTTGTTTGTTCTTTTGGCAGTGCGTGGGGTAGTCTGGACTGTTTGCCAACAAGTGCCTCTAAATGCCCGCGGAGGGGATTTGCCCTACTAGCTCAAAGCAGTGCCTCTCTGGTTAACAGGCTTTCTTCCAGTGACGCTGCGGAAGAAACACAGGTGATTTCCTCCTGTGTGATTTACAGCCAGTGGAAAGAGGGTCAGCTGTGAATCTTGGTCCCACTGGACAGAAGTAACGGAGTGAAATGTTGTTTTGAGGGAAGAGAGCTTCTCTGCAGCAGTCCCTCTGCTGGCCACTTGTGGAATAGTATCCTATGATAGAATGGAAATGAGGGGATGAGTATGAAGTCAGACTTGGCCTTCTTTCCTGGATACACGTTCAGTTCGAGGAGAGGCAGTCTTTGATTCAAGGCATGTGTTTGTATGTTGTTGCTAAGTGCTTTTGCGTCACGTCTCATAGTCACCTGTCTATAACAGAACAAAAGACTTCCTGGGCCTCAGCCATTGCAGTTATTGCTATGTTTGAGCCCATAGTTGCAGCCAGTCTAATCCATCTCATTGACAGTCTTCCTCTTTTTTGCTGACCCTCTGCTTTATCAATGTTTGTGCCTGTGTGTTATCATACATGTTGTACACTGGTGAGGAATAATAATGGAATACTTTGTGTATACTGTGAAACAGTTACGAAGATAGGAACTTAAAATGAATCTTACTCAATTCTTAAAACATACAAAGAAGATATTTTATCTCTAATTTACAGATGTGAAAACTGAAACAGTTGTTATGTGCCATTGAGTTGTACCTCATCGATGACCCTTAAGCAAGTTTTCAGAGGCAGTTAATTGTACGGGAGAAGATTGCCCATTTTTCTCCCTTAGAGAGACTGATGGATTTGAAATACATACCTTTGGGTTGGCAGTGCAACTCTTTATCCACGAGGCTACCAGAGCTCACTATTGAAAGAGTAGATGTGTGTATATGTGCAAATATTTACAAGTAAGTTGTTTTCCATGTATATGACTGTATATGTCATATATAAACAGGGCTGTGTCTTTGTATGTATAGTTGGGTGTATATGCATCGAAGTTCCTCATTCTAGGTGGTGATTAGGTGAAACAGATAAAAGGAAGTTCAGGAATCCTAGATGACTATGTAGGTGGGTGCCTGGAGCCCTGGGTTGCTGACTAGAAATGGTAATATTTGTGCTACTATAATGTGAGGCTGCACAGAAATTATTTTTTTTCCAGAGGAATGAGGGGCTAGTTACTGGATCATTTGTAACTCCCCTTTTCCCTGCAGGTTCATGGTAAAGTTGGCAGAGGAGACAGATGGCGTCATCGTCACCAATGAGCAGATCCACGTCCTGATGAATAATTCCAAGAAACTTATGGTTAAAGATCGGTAAGGTGGCTCTGTGGGGGCTATTTTGTTCTTTTCCTTGTCAGACGGCATCTGGACAAGGAGGCATGAGACTGAGAGAAGAGCTTACAGTGATGTTCTCCACTCTCCCTGGAGGAGACTCCCAGGAGGGACATTGGGGTGTGGGTAGGCCAAGGACCCCTGTGACAAAGCCTCCTCTCTGTACATATAGCCTGCTGCCTTTCACCTTTGCTGGGAATCTCTTCATGGTACCAGATGACCCCCTGGGCCGTGATGGCCCCACCTTGGAAGAGTTTCTGAGGAAGCCAAACAGGTAATGTATTGGACTTCTCATTCTTCTCAGGTCTCCTGGGACTGATAGAAACTTCCTCTTAATTCTAGTCAACCTTTGTCCTGTATTTAGTAATGAATAGATAGATTTTACTATCTTATGTCTATATATTTGTACCATGTATCTACCTATGTATCCCTACGTCACAGTTGGTTTAGAAACTTTAAAACTTTGCATATTACTTTAATACTTTGTGTATCTTCCTACAACTTGTACATATCCTCACTGTTTTTGTAGTTTTCATGATGTATGCCATTTTAAGTGTGTAACTCATTTTAATGATTGGGAGTCTCTTGCATGAATACCCAATGTGTCTATCTGTTCTTTTGTTGAGGGCTATTTTGACTGTTTCATTTTATCCTATTGGTACCGAGGTTGCAGTTAATGGTCTCCTTCTGGTTTCATTGTGTATATCCAAAAGACCTGTCACTAGAATAGATACTCCATTGAAATTTGTCCCCACATTCATCATTCCATTAGGGTATCACACATTCATTTAGATGTAAATGACCACTGTCCCCGTTTTACACCTGAGGAATCTGATACTCAAGTGACTTTCCGAAGGTCACTTTGCTGGTGTGCTAACAGAACTGGTTTGTAGTAACTAAAATCCTCTGATTTGTAGTAACTAAAATCCTCTGAACTTCACTCCTACCAACCCATCTTGCTGTTCCCTTTCAGGTTCCATGGGTTCAGCCGGGGACTGAGCCAGGACCTTCTGGTCAGAGCACTACTTCTGTGCCTGGTCCCCTATTTCCATTTATTTGATTTGGAAGAAATCAGGGTAGATGAGGTTTGCATGTGATGCCTGCTAAGCCCCATATCAAGCTCTCCTTACCTTTCTTGAATTGCTCGTTTTGTGATCAGTTTGGAAGCCACTGATCATCTACTACTTATCAAACCATTGGCTTAAAACCACCTTCAGTGTTAGCTGCCAGTGAGTTTTTGAGTTGACAGACCTTCAAAGCACAAATGAGTCTTGTTTGACTCTGGAGGAGTTGTTTGTGGTAGTCTCCCTTAGGCTAGATCATCTGGGACACTTGGAAATAAATGAGGCTCCATGGGGTTTGCATAGATGAAGTGTCCCCTTGAACAGCCTCCGGAGTAGGGTTCCCCTTCTCTGCCTTCCATTGGGACTCCTAGCCTCTCCTTTCTGCGCTTCTGTTGTAGGCTGGACACTGACATTGGCAACTTCCTGAAGGTGTGGAAGACTCTGCCTTCCAGCTCTACTTGTATCTCTGAACTGCATGGCGATGCTGACTCTGAGCCGCTGGAGAATTTGCAGCACGAGCAAGAAATCAAGGTGGAGAGAGAGAGGCAGGGCGAGGTGCACACAGAAGGTCAGGGGCCACAGAGGCCAGTCAAGGAAGATGACCTCGACTTTTCCCTGGCCTCAGTGTTTGGAGTTGAGTGTCCTTCTCTGTCAGAAGAAATCCTTTGTTGCCTCAGCCTCCACGACCCCCCTGATGGGGCCTTGGACATTGATCTCTTGCCTGGGGTGGCTTCTCCCTGCCTGGGCATCCCTTGGGATGGGAAGGCCCCCTGCCAGCAGGTTCTGGCCCAGCTGGCCCAGTTGACAGTGCCCAGAAACTTCACCGCACTCTCCTTCTTTGTGGGCTTCATGGACTCCCACCGGGATGCCATCCCTGACTATGAGGCCCTTGTGGGCCCCTTGCACAGCCTCCTCAAGCAGAAGCCGGACTGGCAGTGGGGCCAGGAGCACGAGAAGGCTTTCTTGGCCCTGAAGAGAGCCCTGGTGTCCACTCTGTGCCTCACAGCCCCCAACTCCCAACTGCCCTTCCGCCTAGAGGTGACGGTGAGCAAGGTGGCCCTGACAGCCATCCTCTACCAAGACCACTCAGGAAGGAAACACCCCATAGCCTATACTTCAAAACCCCTCCTTCCTGATGAGCACAGTGAGGGCCCCCAGTCCGGTGGAGACAGCCCCTACGCAGTGGCCTGGGCCCTCAAACATTTTTCTCGCTTCACTGGGGACCTCCCAGTGGTCTTGGACCTTTCCTATGCCTCCCGGACCACTGTGGGCTCCGAGGCTGGGCAACACTGCAGGGTTTCCAAAGCATGGCTGATCCGATGGTCCCTTTTGGTCCAGGACAAAGGGAAGAGGGCCCTGGAGTTGACCCTTCTCCAGGGCCTGCTGGGGGAGAACCGGCTGCTGACACCTGCGGCTTCCATGCCTCGTCTTTTCCAGGTCCTGCCTCCTTTCTCTGACTTGTCCACTTTTATCTGCATCCATATGTCAGGCTATTGTTTTTACCGAGAGGATGAGTGGTGTGCTGGCTTCGGTCTCTATATCTTGTCTCCCACCAGCCCCCCTGTCTCTCTCTCCTTCGCCTGCTCCCCTTACACACCAACCTTTACCCACCTGGCAGCTGTGGCCTGTGGGCTGGAGCGCTTTGCCCAGTCCGGCTTCCCCCTGGTTTTCCTCACTCACTGTAACTGGATCTTCAGCCTCCTCTGGGAGCTCCTGCCCCTCTGGAAGGCTCGGGGCTTCCTCTCCTCTGACGGCTCTCCACTACCTCACCCAGAGCTGCTCTCCTACATTATATCTCTCCTCTCTGGCCTCCCCTCCCTCCCCTTTATCTACAGAACTTCCTATCGGGGGTCTCTGTTTGCAGTGACAGTGGACAATTTGGCTAAGCAGGGTGCCCAGGGCTGTGGCCAGTGGTGGAATTTGCCAAAGGATGTGCCAGTCCCTGTGGTGTCTCCCCGTACGAGGGGCAAGAGGCTGGACCTGCTGGCATTGCAGCGAAGTGACAGCACGCTGGCAGATGCCATTGCCCATCTGCAGGCCGGGCAGAAACTGCCCAGCTCCTCACCCTTCACTTCTGTCTTTAACTCCCTCAGCCTAGATAAGGAGAGTGGCCTGCTGATGTTTAAGGGTGATAAAAGGCCCAAGGTGTGGGTCATCCCAAGGCAGCTCCGGAGGGATCTGATTTTCTTTGTGCATGACCTCCCTGTGGGGGCCCACCAGAGGCCAGAGGAGACCTTCAAGAAACTGCGGTTGCTTGGGTGGTGGCCTGGGATGCAGGAACACGTGAGAGAGTACTGCCGGAGCTGCTTGTTCTGTGTCTCCAGGAATCTCTCGGGCAGTGAGTTGAAGGTGGTTGAGTCTCTGTGGCCCATCAGGTCAACTGCCCCCTGGTCAAACCTGCAGATTGAGGTGGTAGGTCCTGTCACTATCAGCGAGGAGGGCCACAAGCATGTGCTCATTGTGGCTGACCCTTACACCAGGTGGGTGGAGGCATTCCCGCTGAAGCCCTACACACACACGGCTGTGGCTCAGGTGCTGCTGCAGCACGTGTTTGCCAGGTGGGGCATTCCTGTGAGGCTGGAGGCGGCCCAGGGTTCCCAGTTTGCCCGGCATGTCCTCGTGTGCTGTGGGCTGGTCCTCGGAGCTCACGTAGCCTCCCTGAGTCGGGACCTCCAGTTCCCCTGCCTGATGAGCTCAGGGGCCTACTGGGAATTCAAGAGGGCTCTCAAGGAGTTCATCTTCCTGCATGGGAGGAAGTGGGCGGCCTCCCTGCCCTTGTTGCACCTGGCCTTCAGAGCCTCCTCCATGGAGCCCACTCCTTTCCAGATCCTGACAGGGACTGAGGAGAAGGTGTCTGAGCCCCTCTGGTGGGAGTTGAGCAGTGCCAATATTGAAGGGCTCAAGATGGACACCCTCCTGATTCAGCTGATTGGGGAACTGCTGGAACTTCACTGGAGGGTGGCTGACAAGGCATCTGAGAAGGTAGAGAACAGGCGTTTGAAACGGGAGTTTCAGGAGGTAGGGTGGAATGTGGGCGACCAGGTCCTCTTACTGTCCCTCCCTAGGAATGGTAGCAGTGCCAAATGGGTGGGTCCCTTCTATATTGGGGACCGGCTAAGCTTCTCTCTGTACAGGGTCTGGGGCTTCCCGACCCCGGAGAAGCTGGGCTGCATCTATCCCAGCAGTCTGATGAAGACCTATGCCAAGTCTGGCACTACCCTGGCCTTCCAGGCCTTGGAGGAGTGAGATGGAGCATGCTGGAGCCTCTGCCCTGGGCTCCTGCGTGTCTGGTGCTAGACCTTCCCCATCCCCCAGCAATGCAATCACACATGGAGGTCTTCAGTTGTGCCTTTTGTAGAGAAGTTGCTTCAGAAGACTTTGTTGAATTGCTTTGAAATAGAGATCAGTGTCCCCACAGAAATATCCATTTTCAGAGGTATTCAGAGAATGTGCCAAAGGCTGTCAGACAGGGGCCTCTGACAGTTTTAACTTGGGGTGTAGAAGGTTCCCTCACCAAGCTATGCCAAATGCAGTCTCTTTTTCCCCACAAATTTCTTTTGCTCTATCACTTGCAGACGTGCTCATGTATAAACGCTCCCCTGCCCTGAATCTTCTGGTTCTCTTAACCGTGAAATGTGGCCCTCTTTAGTCCTTAGAAATGGACCTACTTTTTTGTCCTAAACAGAAACCTCAGATGTGGACTCCCCTCCATACTGTTCGTTAGGGACTCCATGCCCTTGATCAGTCACAACTGATGGATTGGGTTGACTTCGGGTTTCACAGGTGGCTTTCCCAAGCCAGGCCAGACCTACCCAGCTGTCGAGAAGGAGCAGCGGCTCTGGTCTCGGGGGGAGTAGGAGACCAGCTGTAAATGACCCAGTTCTCAACGTTGGCAGACAAAGGGGAGAATGTCCAGCCTACCTCATTTTACTTTAGCCAGTGGCAACGACTCCATGTGTTTTGGTGTCGATCCCACAGAAATCCAGGATCTTGATGCCGATTTGTGGTTATCTACCTGAAGAGCTGCTTTAACTAGAGCAAGGGGCCCAGGCCTCTGTTTTGCCTGGGGCAGGGCCCTGAAGTGAGCAGTCTGGTGCACTGAGGTACCAGCGTGGCTCTACCTCTTAATCCCTCACCACCCTGTCTCAAAGCCCTCTGCTCCTCCTGCCTCACCCCTGCATTCCCAGACCCCTCCGTAGTGTGTGAATGCTTTGCTTGGATCACCCTAGTCTTTCTCTCTGGCTTCTGTTTAGAGCAAAGCCTGAGCGCCCTTAGCCACTCCTGGCAAAGACCACTCTGGAAGCGAGAATGAGTTTTTCACATGGTGTGTGTACCACTCCGGCAGTGTGCATACACTCATCCCTCGGAATTGCTGCTCTGAATTGCTGCTGACAGGAGTGTGGACACTGGCTGAAGGGCAGCACCAAGCCACCCCAGCTGGCCCTATAGGAAGTCTTAATCTCAGTAACTCAAAAGCATCCTGACCCAACTCAAGTGACCAGAACACCTGGCATTGCAGAGTTCTGGAGCCAGAGCAGACCTGCCATTTAGTCGTGCTAGTTTTAAAACTGAGGAGAGGCTCAAAGAGGGATAGTGACTTACCCAGAGTCACACAGCTAGTTCATGACTGAGCTGGTGCCAGGATTAAGCTTCCTGATTTCACAGGTCATGAACAGCTTTCTAAAGACAATTTTGAGCTAGAGAACTCCTTTAAATACCTATGCCCACGTGCCGGCCAGCGCTCCATCTCCTAAGATCCTGCACATAAACCATTTCTAGCTGTTGGTCGTGTCCAGCAAAGAATGAGTGTTGACTGAAAGGTTAAAAGGTGAGCTGTGAGAGAATCTGAAGACAGTTCCTTTCCATTTCTTCCTTTTTCCTCTGATGCTGCTCTCAATCTCGCTTCTTCCCTGATGCAGTATTCCTTCCCCTTAGTAACCACGTTCATGCTCTTACCCCCTTGTTTTAAGAAATTGGATTTGTCAATAAACAGATCAAACTAGAACCAAAGTCCCTTTCTCTTTTTACTAAGAGTGAGGGAAATGTTGGGAAACTCTGTGGCCTAGTGGCAAGAAGCTGTGCTGTAATCCTGAAGATGCATGGTTCAAATCCACCAGATGCTCTGCTGGAGATGGAGGGGAAATCTCCTCCTGTGCCAGCTGGATCTGATTAGACAGTTAAACAACAAGAAAACAAAAATGCCAACAACAACATAAAAAAAGTGAGGAAGATGTTGGGGGGTGGGGGATGGCTATGGACTAGGATGTTTCCCAGACAGACCTTATGTACTGTAGGGTTGGAACTGACTCATGGCTGACCCTCCAGCAGATTTTCAGAGGCAGTAAATCACACAGGGACAGTTTGCCTATCTTTCTACCACAGAACAGTTGGTAGTCAGACTAAGTGCCGTTGGGTTGGTAGTACAGCTCCTGAATACTAGGCAACCAGAACTCTGTCTACAGATCTTAAAACCTGAGAAATGCCTTTCTAAGATCATTTGGTTAGCTATTTGTTGTTAGAGATGAATAAACCTAAGTTCAGTCTATGACTGGTTAATGGCAGAGCTGCAGTTAGAGATTAGACTCAACTTTCAAACTTGGGCTCTTTCTGATTCATGTCTTGGAAATGGGCAGGGTGGGAATGAAATGAGTGTAAGCCAAGAGAATGGCGTTAGTGCTGAACCAGTTTACCTGGACTGGACACATGATAGACCAGGTTCAGATGCTGGCTCTGTATTTTCTACCCATGTGCCTTGTTTCTCAAGGCTTCAGTCCTACAGCTGTAAAATGCAAAGCAAAAATTTCCAAATTACATAGTAGAAAGAGGACATGAAACAATCTGAAGAAGCTAGTTCAGTGCATTCGCTACATGCCTTGTGGCACCCTGGAACTCTTGTCTCCATTCAGGTTTAGAGATATTCCTAACCTGGACCAAGCTTCCTGATTGTGGGTCTCTGCAGTTTGAGCCTTGGCTCATATTTGAGCCCATATTCTGTTGGCACTGGCAGAGAAATGGAGTGGCAAGAGGAAACTGCCCTTCCCAAAGGCTCCTCACTACCAATCACTTGTTTATAGGTACACCTGCTATGTGCAAGTCTCTGATTAGATGTGGGCTGGTCACCAGGTGGTGTGAGTGATATGGTGTCTGCTGCTTTGGAGCTCACAGTCATATGTGGAAGATGACTGAAGAAGCAAATGCATCAGAGTTCAGAACAGGAAGCTGAAACAGTCTGGAAGGGAAATAGTCTTATGTAGGAACACACAGATAGGTGTTGAGGCCTCAGCAACATGTCATTCAGAGAAGTCTTTCTTGAGCTGCTTTCTGCAGTATGCAGTTTCTTAACTATAGGTTGTATAGGGTTTAGAAGTTTTATGTGGAAGACACCAATCCGAAAAGTTGGTCAGCAATATCAAGCAATAATCAGATTTTACTTACACTGGTTTCTCAGTCTTCTGATGGTAAGATGTCTCCTTTTCACTTTTGAATAATTTCCGAAGTCTGAACACAGATTTGAGGTCCCTCTTGTGTTTGGAGGGCTGAGTCAGTGGGACAATCCACAATCAACCCTTGTGGATTTCTAGGCTACTACTGCTGAAGGCAATGGGAAAAAAATAATGCCCTAGGAATTGATAAAATACCAGTTGAGGTGTTTCAACAAGCAGATGCAGCCCTGGATGTGCTCCCTAGCCTATGCCAAGAAATTTGGAAGAGAGCTACCAGGCAAACTGAATGGGAGAGATCCATGTTTGTTTCTATTGCAATAAAAGGAGACCCAATGGAATGTGGAAAGTATTAAATGGTATCATTAATATCACATACAAACAAAAATGACTGGCTCATCAACAAGGAACTTTCAGAAAGTCAAGCTAGATTCAGAAGACGCAATGGAACTAATGATGCCTCTGTTGAGTTCAAATAGGTCATGGTTGAAAGCAGAGAATACCAGAAAGATGCTTGTTTATGTTTTATTGATATGCAACAGAATTGCACTGTGTGGATCATGAATTATGTCAACATTGAGAAGAATGGGAATCCCAGAACAATTGAGGTGCTTATGAGAAACCTAGACCAAGAAGCAGTTGTCAAAACAGAACAAGGGAACATTATATGGTTTAAAATAATGAACTATGTGCATCAAAGTTGTATTCTTTCTCCATACCTATTACATCTGTATGTTGAGAAAATAACTTGAGAAGATGGACTATATAAAGAAGAATGTAGCATCAGGATTGGTGGAAGACTCAGCAACAACCTGTAATATATAGATGATACAGCCTTGCTTGTAGAAAATAAAGAAGACTTAAAGCACTTATTGAAGAAGACCAAAGACTATACTCTTCAATATAGATTGCATCTCAACATCAAGAAAATGAAAATCCTCACCACTGGACCAATAGGCAACATGATAGATGGAGAAAAGATTGAAAGTTGCTAATGACTTAATTTTGCTTGACTCCACAATCAACACCCAATAGTAGCTGAAGTCAAGAAATCAAAAGACATGTTGCCATATGGAAAATATTCAAGACTATCTCCAAAGCCCAAAGTGTTAAGAGCAATGATGTCAGTTAAAAGACTAAGGTGTCTTTATGATCTGAACTGTGGCATTTTCATTGGCTTCCTATGCATCTGAAAGTTGGACAATTAATAAGGAAGACAGAAGAGAAATTAATGACTTTGATCTGTGATGTTAAGAGAATACTATTCAGGGGAGCTTTGGTGGCCTAGTGGCAAGAAGCTGCACTGCAATCCCAGAGGCACACGGTTCGAATCCGCCAGATGCTCTGCTGGGAAAGGAGGGACAATCTCCTCCTGTACCAGTCAGATCCAATTTGATGGTACACACACACACACACATACACACACACAAAATAATAAAAAATTTTAAAAAAGAGAATAGTATTCAATATTCCATGCACTACCAAAAGAACAAACAAGTCTGTCTTGAAGAAAGTGCAACCAAATTACTCCTTAGTGACAAGAATGGTTAAACATCATCTCACATACTTTGAGCATATTTGTCAGGAGTGACCAGTACTTAGAAAAAGACATATGCTTGGAAAGATGAAGGTTCAGAGAAAAAGAGGAATACCTGCAATAAGGTAGATTGACATAGTGAATGTATAATGAGCTCAAACATATGGCATATCAAGAGGATGGTTGAGGAAAGGGTAAAGGTCAAATCTATTGTTCACAGGGTCACTGTGAGTCATAGTTAACTTGCTAGCACCTAACCACAGCACCTT